ATGCAAGAGCATTGAGGAAATGGAGAGAGTCATTATGGAAACATCAGCTAACATGCTTGAAGTAAGGAGGAAACATGAATTATCTCAGAGATGTACAAGCTTTTTCACAGAGTTAAAAGCTGAGACAATGGTCTAATGTAGGGGAGACAGTGTGGATGACACAGGAGAGAGAGAGACAGTATATAAGACAAGGCTCCTGAACATAGAGGGGCTAAGACTTCCAGCAGAAGTAGAGAGTTTAGCTTATATGAGAGGAGGAACTTTGTTTTGTTTTGTTTTGTTTATTCAGTAGTGAAGGGAAAATAAGAGATCACAATTCAGGCTGGTCAGTTGTGCAAGTTCCTGTGTGGTAGATGCTATATTTTCTTTTCTTTTTTCTTTTCTGTGTTTTTTGTTTGTTTGTTTGTTTGTTTGTTTTTTGAGACAGAGTCTCACTCTGTCACCCAGACTGGAGTGCAGTGGTGTGATCTTGGCTCACAGCAACCTCTGCCCCCCCCCGGGTTCAAGTGATTCCCCTGCCTCAGCCCCCACCCAGTAGCTGGGATTACAGGTCCACACCACCACGCCCAGCTAATTTTTGTATTTTTAATAGAGACGGGGTTTCTCTATGTTGGCCAGGCTGGTCTCGAACTCCTGACCTCAAGTGATCCACCCGCCTTGGCCTCCTAGATTTCTGGCATTACAGACATGAGCCACGGCGCCCGGTCAAACGCTACATCTTCTAGAAATTGGATGTTTTTTTGAGATTGACTGGAAGTATGAACCATAGGGGTGCAGAGGAAGCATTGACAAGGGGAGTGTCCTAGCATTTTTTGTAGGACAGGTCTTGTGTTCATGAAATCCCTAGCTTTTGTTTGTCTATGAAAAGTCTTCCTCTCTCCTTCATCTTTGAAGGATATTTTCACTGGATTTACTATTCTACAATAATAGTTAACAGTTGTTTTTTTTTTCTTTTGACACTGTCTCCTGTCCTGTAAGGGTTCCACTGAGAAGTCCGCTGCCACATGTATTGGAGCTCCATTGAATATTATTTGTTTTATTTCTCCTGTCACTTTTAGAATCCTTTCTTTATCCCTGGCCTTTGGCAGTTTCATTATTAAATGTCTTCAGATAGACTTACTTAGGACAAATGTGCTTCGTGTTCTATAACCTTCTTGTACTTAAATATTGATATCCTTCTCTAGGTTTGGGAAATTCTGGTAGTATTCTTTTGATGAAACTTTCTACCTTTCTCTCTCTCTCTCTCTCTCTCTCTCTCTCTCTCCATCCTCTTTAAGGCCAAGAACTCTTAGATTTTTCCTTCTGAGGCAGGCTGTTTCCCAGATCTTGCATGCGTTATTCTCAGTTATTCTCATTTATTCTTTCTTTTGTCTTCTCTGGCTGTGTATTTTCACATAGCCTCTCTTCAAATTCACTAATTCTTCTGCTTGATCAATGCTGTGACAAAACTCTTGTGTACCCTGCGGTGAGTCAATTGCATTTTTTAACTCCAGAGTTTCTGTTTGATCATTTTAAATTATTTCAATCTTTTTAAAATTTATCTCATAGGATTTGGAATTCCTTCTGTGTCATTATGAATTTTGTCGCGTTTCCTCAAAACAACTCTTTTGAATTTTCTGTCTGTAAGTTCACGTATCTCTCCGTAATGTTTCACTGGTGCCTTATTTAGTTCATTTGGTGAATGCATGTTTTACTGGATTGTCCTGATGCTTGTGGATGTTTATCACTATCGAGGCATTGAAGAATTAGGCATTTATGGTAGTATTTGCAGTCTGTGCCCATTCTTTTTGGGAAGGCTTTCCAGGTATCCAAAGCGACTTGGGTGTTGTTATCTAAGTTTTTGGTTACTGCAACCATATCTGCCTTAGGGGGACCCCACGCCCAGTTTTTATCTAAGTTTTAGGTTACTGCAGCCATATCTGCCTTAGGGGGAACCCCACGCCCAGTAACTCTAAGGATCTTGATGACTCCTAGAAGTACTGCCTTTGTGGTCTTGGATAAGATCTGGAAGAATTCTCTGGATTATCAGGCAGAGACTCTTGTTCCTTCCCCTTACTTACTCCCAAATAAACAAGAGTCTTTCTCTCTGAACTGAGCTTCTAGGGCTGGGAAAGGGGTGACACCATCATGGGGACTGCACCGAGTTAGGCCCAAAGACAGCACAACACTGGGTCTCACCCAAGGTCCACAGTAACCACTGCCTGGCTATTGCCTTTGTTAACTCAAGTTTCTAGAGTTCTAGAATCAGCTGGTGGTGAAACAATCCCGGCTTTTATCTCAACCTTCAGGGCTTCAAGTGTCCCCTGATCACAGGTAGGTCTAGAGATGCTATCTGGCAGCCAGTCCCTGGAGTCACAAACCTTAGGTATCAACCTGGTGCTCTTTTTTATTGTGGTTCAGCTGACACCAAGGCAACAAGAAAAAATCTTTCCCACTTTTCCCTTCACTTTCCACATGCGGAGGTGTTGCTCCCACTGGTTACCACCACCCAAGCCTGTGGTGAGTAATGTCTGATTACCACCAACGTTTATTCCAGGCCCACGGGCTTTTCAGTCAGCCTGCGGTGAATGCTTCCAGGCCTAGAACTCTCTTTTCAGCGCAGTGGACTCTTCTTTGACTCAGAGCAAGTCAAGAAATACTGTCTAAGAGCCAAGACCTGGAATTGGGAACCTCAAGAGCCCACTTGGTGCTTGATATGGTTTGGCTGTGTCCCCACCCAAATCTCATTCTGAATTGTACTTTCCATAATCCCCACATGTTGTGGGAGGGACCTGGTGGGAAGTAATTGAATCATCAGAGTGGTTTCCTCCATGCCATTCTCATGATAGTGAGTAGGTTCTCACAAGATCTGATGGTTTTATAAGAGGCTTTTCCCTTTGCACTTGGCTCTCATTCTTCTCCATCCTGCCGCCCTGTGAAGAAGGACTTGCTTGCTTCCCCTTTTGCCATGATTATAAGTTTCCTGAGGCTTCCCCAGCCCCACAGAACTGTGAGTGAATTTAACCTCTTTCCTTTTTAAATTACCCAATCTTGAGTATGTCCTTATAGCAGCGTGGGAACGGACTAATACAGTAAATTGGTACCACAAAGAGTGGGGCATTGCTGTAAAGATAACCAAAAATGTGGAAGCAACTTTGGAACTGGGTAACAGGCAGAGGTTGGAACAGTTTGGAGAGCTCAGAAGAAGACAGGACAATGTGGGAAAGTTGGAAACTTCCTAGAGACTTGGAGGGCTCAGAAGACAGGAAGATGTGGGAAACTTTGGACCTTCCTAGAGACTTGTGGAAGGGCTTTGACCAAAACGCTGATAGTGATATGGAAAATGAAGACCAGGCTGAGGTGGTCTCAGATGGAGATGAGAAACTTGTTGGGAACTGGAGTAAAAGTCCCTCTTGCTCTTCAAAGAGACTAGCAGCATTTTGCCCCTGCCCTAAAGATTTGTGCAACTTTGAACTTGAGAGAGATGATTTAAGATATCTGGTGGAAGAAATTTCTAAGCAGCAAAGCATTTAAGAGAAAGTACAACATTAAAATTTGGAAATTTTGCAGCCTGACAATGCAATAGAAAAGAAAAACTCATTTTCTGGGGAGAAATACGAGCCAGCTACACAAATTTGCATAAGTAACAAGAAGCCAAATGTTGATCCCCAAGACAATGGGGAAAATGTTTCCAGGGCATATCAGAGACCTTCATGGCAGCCCCTTTCATCACAGGCATAGAGGCCTAAAAGGAAAAAAATGGGCCAGATCCAGGGCTCCCCTGCTATGTTTAACCTCAGGACTTGGTGCCCTTCATCCCAGCCACTCCAGCCAAAGCTAAAAGAGGCCAAGTTACAGCTCAGGCCATTATTTCAGAGGGTGCAAGCCCCAAGCCTTGGCAGCTACCATGCAGTATTGGTCCTGAGGGTGCACAGAAGACAAGAATTGAGGTTTGGGAACCTCTGCCTAGATTTCAGAGAATGTATGGAAATGCCTGGATGTCAGGCAGTAGTCTGCTGCAGGGGTGAGGCCCTCATGGAGAACCTGTGCTAGGAAAGTGTGGAAAGGAAATGTGGGGTCAGAGTCCCCACACAAAGTCCTCACTGGGACACTGCCTGGTGGAGCTGTGAGAAGAAGGCCACTGTCTTCCAGACCCCAGAATGGTAGATCCACTGACAACTTGCACCATGTACCTGGAAAAGCAACAGACACTCAATGCCAGCCCATGAAAGCAGCTAGGAGGTGGACTGTACCCTGTAAAGCCACAGGGGCAGAGCTGCTCAAGGCCATGGGAGCCCACTTCTTGCAATAGCATGCCCTGGATGTGAGACATGAAGTCAAAGGAGATAAGTTTGTAACTTTAAGGTTTAATGACTGTCCTGTTGAGCTTCGGACTCACATGGGGCCTGTAGCCCCTTTGTTTTGGCCAATTTCTCACATTTGGAATAGGTGTATTACCCAATGCCTGTACCCTCATTGTATCTAGGAAGTAACTAACTTGCTTTTGATTTTCTAGGCTCAAATGCACAAGGAAATTGCCTTGTCTCCAGTGAGACTTTGGACTTTGACTTTTGAGTTAATGCTGGAATAAAAGTTTAGAGGACTGTTGGAAGGGCATAATTGTGTTTTGAAATGCGAGGACATGAGATTTGGGAGGGGCCAGGGAGAATGATATGGTTTGGCTCTGTCTCCACCCAAATCTCGTCTTGAATTGTAGATCCCATAATCCCAACATGTTGTTGGACGTTGGACGGAGCCGGTAGGAGGTATGTGAATCATTGGAGTGGTTTCCCCCATGCTATTCTCATGATAATGAGTAAGTTTTCTTAAGTTCTGGTGGTTTTACCAGGGGCTTATGGGTTGGCTTGGCTCTCATTCTTCTCCTTCCTGCCAACATGAAAAGAAAGAAAGAAGGACATGTTTGCCTCCCCCTTCGCCATGATTTTAAGTTTCATGAGGCCTCCCCAGCCCTGCAGAACTATGAGTCAATTAAACCTCTTTTCTTTATATATTACCCAATCTCAGGCATGTCCTTATAGCAGCGTGAGTATGGACTAATACAGCGCTGTACCCTACTGTGCCTGAGCTCTTACCTATGCTGTAAGACAAAATACCCTTTTAATTTTCCCTTTCCTTTTCTCAATCAGAAATAGTTTCTCCCTATGGCCACCACAGCTGAGAATGTGTTAGGTCACACCTAAAGCAAGCACATCTCTGAGTCTCACCTATGGCCCATGGTGAGCACTGCCTGGGTATCACTGCTGATTATTCAGGGACCAAGGACGCTTTAGTCAGCACGTGATGAATCCTGCTGCGACTGAGTCCTTCCTTTCAAGGAAGAGGGTTTGTTTCCTCCCACCCCAGTGTATGTTTGGAAATGTCACCTGGAAGCTAGGGCCTGGAATAGGGGCCTCAGTACTCTGCCTGGTACCATGTCGTACTGTGGCTGAGCTAATACCCAAGTTGGAATACAAAGTCCTCTTTACTTTTCTGTCTCTTCTCCTCAAGCAGAGGGAAAGAGCCTCTCCTGGAGCTGCAAGTTGAGTTTTCTGGCATTGGGCTAAGGGTGGCACAAGCACTCCTTTGGCCACCCCTGCTGGCATCTCACTGGGTCATATCCCCACCAAGTTTACTGGCTCTGAGCCCAGCACAGTACCAAGACTTGACCAGGAATTGCAGCCTTTGTGGCTTAAGCCACTTTTCAAAGTTATATAGGACCACAGAGTACTTTATTAGCCTGTGGTGGTGGAGCTGCAAGAATTCAGGTTCTAACCACTTGGATTAACAATTTTCCTCTGGCTGGGGCTAGCATAATTGCTCCTTCTGCAGGTGCTGGCTGAGTTCTGCCTGGTGTTACTATCCACTGTGACAGAGAAGCACTGAGTTCCAATTCAGAATCCCACAATCACTGCTGTCTCCGTGCCCTAGGCACATAGATTCTCCATGCCACAGCGCTGCTGCTGGGTGGTGGTGGTGTGGGGGCGGTGTGGTTGCCTTTCCTACCCTCTTCAGTGCCTCTTTCAGTGATGCGAAGCTAAAACCAGGTACTGTAATTGCTCACCTGCTTATTAATTCTTACGAAGGTGCTTTTGCGTGTGAATAGTTGTCCAATTTGTTGTTCTGGTGGAGACGATCATCAGTGGATGTTTCTATTTGGCCACCTTGCTCTGCCTTGACATTCAAGTTTTCTTGATGAGCCATTCTCATTTTAGAAGCTCACTGATTTCTCTTTTCTTTTAATTAACAAACTATTAATAATTTACACCATACAAGTTATTACTCGGCTGTAAATCATTTTTAAACCAGTATCCAATTATTTGAAATTTATGAGTCTCCTTTCTCCAATAAGAATATAAGTTCTTTGATCAATATGGCTTACTACAGTAAAACCAAGGATAATTTATCTTAGTTACTATAATGTTTAATGAAATACTGTTCCAAAGTTTTTCCAAAGAGAAGTCACTCCTTATACTTAGTATCTATCTTCAGTGCCTAACATGGGGCTGAGTACGTACAAGGTATTCAATAAATGCTTGTTGAACTGATATGGGTAACTACTAAATATTTAACTCATGTATATAATTTCATTGCTTATGCTTTCAATGTCTTAAAATGGAGAAGTCCTCACCTCACCTGAATTTGTCTGCTGTAAAATACGAACTATGTATGTGAGCTCTTAAGAGAGAGCTTACATAAATTTAAGAAATATGTAAAAGTTAGATCATGCCCAAGATTTGTTTTTCAAACATAAGAAAATAAAATACATCACTGAGGGTATAAGTATTTTATGAGTCTTGTCTTCCTCATAAAAATAAAAGTAAGATACTTTAGTCACTTTTGTTTTTAATAAATATACATTTATATTTGGAAGCTGTTGCTTTCTGGGCTATAAAATTTGCTTTATCACCGGCCCTAAGAAAGACCTATAATAATAATGTTAAAATGTTATATTTCAAAACATCATATTTATATACATTGAGATACCTTTATGTCATTTTATTTTAGCCTCAAAATATATTTTAATGAATCTGTTGATTTATATGAAGTCTTTATGCACACTAAATACTTAATAATATTCCTCTATTAGGTGTTCGTGTCTCTAACTGTGCATCTGAAAAGGGGAGTTGAATTTTTCTCAAATTCTTACGTGATCATGGCAAATAAATTAAAATAGACAATTCTGTTGTTCCATATGTAACTTTCTAGAAACTCTTTCATGAACAATATCCATTTAGAATAAGTTTCAAGCCATATTTAAATTTATTTCAGTTGTAAACAAGATATTTTCCTTTATCATTATCAAATTAGCCACAATGCTGATACTGTCATCACTGGCCTAATTAGAATTTTTGTAACAATATAGACATTTGAACATAAACATTTGCAATACTTTTTCTATTTAGGATTCTTTTACTGGACGTTTAGGTATTCATTTTAATTGACTTTGTAAATATCACATGCTTACTGGAATAAAAAGAAAATAACAGTAGGCATTAACAAAGTAAAAACTCATAAATCAACCATTCAGAGATAAACGTATTAATATTTTAATAGATTTTTCCAATATTTTATGTGTGTATATGTATATATATGTGTATGTGTGTGTGTGTATATATATATATACTTGTATGCTTTTTTTCTATCTTTTAGGATTATGGTATATAGAGAGTTTTAAAAAATTAACATTGCATTGAATTTATTATCTGACAAGACTAGATAGTTTGCTTTTATTTATTTATTTGTTTTTTGAGACAGAGTCTCGCTCTGTCACCAGGCTGGAGTGCAGGGGCGCGATCTTGGCTCACTGCAACCTCCGCCTCCCGGGTTCAAATGATTCTCCTGCCTCAGTCTGCCGAGTAGCTGGGGCTACAGGCATGCATCACCACACCCAGCTAATTTTTGTATTTTTAATAGAGACGGGGTTTCACCATGTGGGCCAGGATGGTCTCGACCTCTTGACCTCATGATCCAGCCGCCTCAGCCTCCCAAAGTGCTGGGATTACAGACGTGAGCCACCATGCCCAGCCTGACTAGATAGTTTTCAAAAATATAATGTTTAAGCTTATGCCTGTAATCCCAGTGGTTTAGGATGCTGACGTGGGAGAATGGTTTGAGGACAGTAGTTAGAGACCAGCCTAGACAACACAAAGAGACCACGTCTCTACAATACACACATATTTGGTCTATGTGGCGGCATGTGTAGCTACTAGGAGGCTGAGACAAGAGGATCACTTGAGGCCAGGAGTTGGAGGCTGCAATGAGTTATGCTCGCACCACTGCACTCTAGGCTGAGTAACAGAGTGAAACCCTGTCTGTAAATACATGTATGTTACAGAGTGACATAGGATTTCACTGTATTATAGTCTATATATTTACCCATCTGTTTTATTTACTTTCACCACATATTTTAGATATTATTGTTTCCCATTTTCCTTTTATGTAATAAACTTTGAACACAAAATTTTGAATATAGCTCTACTTATTCATCACGCTACTTATTACAGTAGAATTTAAGTGGAATCATAATCTCTCAGAATCTTGATCAACACTTTCAAAATATATTTTTAAAGGCTGTGCAAATTTATATATCCATCTAGGGCCAATAGTTGTATTTCTGTATATATATATGTGAATATATACAGCCACTGGAGTTGTGCAGTGTGCAGCCCACAAAACTGAACTGGTGATTTTACTCTCGCCTGTAGAGTATGACTGTACCCATCTCACTATCACTAATATTAAATGTAATAAATTTAAAATTATTAATAGTATAAAAGGTTAAAAATAAACATGTTTCTTATTGAGCACTCAAGTTCAATTGCCTTTAGCAGAGATCTTTAAAAACTGTGGTGTAAACATTATAGATGTTTATTTTTTCTCACTTAGTGGTTTAGAAGAAGTAGAGGTGATTCATGTCTGGCAGTAGCTTTTTCCACCATGTTTTTGAAAGATCTCTATGGCTGTAAACTTTTTGCTGTCACCCACTTGGTCTAAGTTAGTATACCACTGCCTTTACTGTGTCCAAACAGCATTATGGAGGAAAGTGAAAAAGCGAAGGGAAGTAGAATTTCCTATTTAAGGGAACAATGCAGTTTTCTTTATGAAAAATTTCTAACTTTGTTTAAAAAACTTCTGTTCACATTCATTAGTCACAAATTAGTCACCTAGACAAATCTAATTGTTAGAGAAACTGGGAGATGTAGTGTTTGTTTTGAGTTTGTCAAGATCCAGCTGAAAACTAGGAACTAAATATTGGTGAAAAAAATAGAAAAATGGTTTTGAAGAAGTATTACTCTCTGCCATACAGAGAATCTTACATTTGCAATATATTTAATCACTGGTGAAATTGACATTTTTTCATGCATTTATGTAATTTTTTTATATCAATTACACATTAGTGCTCTGTGCTATTTTTGTCACAAAAGTCTTTTTAAAAATATTTTTTGTAAAGGGCTTTCTGTTTAATATTTATATTAACTTGTTCTTTTTTTTTTTTGAGTTGAAGTTTCGCTCTTGTTGCCCAGGCTAGAGTGCAGTGGAGCGATCTCAGTTCACTGCGACCTCCACTTTCCAGGTTCAAGCAGTTCTCCTGCCTCAGCCTCCCGAGTAGCTGGGATTACAGGCATATACTACCACACCCAGCAAATTTTGTATTTTTAATAGAGACAGGGTTTCACCATGTTGGTCAGGCTGGTCTCGAACTCCTGACCTCTGGTGGTCCTCCTGCCTCAGCCTCCCAAAGTGCTGGGATAATAGGCATGAGCCACTGGGCCCGGCCTATATTATCTGTTGTACTCATTTTTAAGTATTATTATTATACTACTTTTTATTTATTGGAATTTTACAGACCTATGATCACATTTTTATTATCATTATACTTAGAAAGTTTTTCTATTCCCCAAGATGTTAATATTCATTAATATTTCATTATAGGATTACATAAATTTAGATTTTATTTAAAATTTTATTTTATCTTTAGGCTTTTTGTTTGTTTTTGTTGTTTGCTAAGACTAAGAAGAAAAATATCCAACTTCAGAGTTTTTTAAAATACTTTTCTTTACTAAGTTTGAAATTATTTATTTAACACTAAGTAAAAATTCAGAAGATTTTATATTGTGCTCATATAGTTTAGCATTTTTTGTTGTTGTTGTTCACTACCTTATAGTCCTGGCTCACTTTTTATTAAATATTAAAAAATTATACATATATAATTTTAAAAATAATAAGGTTATCCTCCAATATTTAGCAACTTTTAAAAATGTTTGGTGAGTTTTTATTTTTTTTCAACTATTTTTAAGATACAGGAAGCACATATTCAGGTTTGTTACATGGGTATATTGCACTCAGGTAGTGAGCATAGTACCCAATAGGTAATTTTGGGACCCATGTCCTCCTCCCTCCCTTCCCGCTCTGTAGTCTGCATTGTCTATTGTTTCCATGTTCATGTCCACATGTGTTCAATGTTTGGGTCCCACTTATGAGTGAGAATGTGTGATATTTGGCTTTCTGTCCCTGCATTAATTTCTGACCCTGGTTGGGATAATGGCCTCCGGTACCATCCATTCTACTGCAAAGGACATGATTTTATTTTATTTTTTTTGTGGCTGTGTAGTGTTCCATGGTGTGTATATGTAACATTTTCTTTATCCCATCTACCACTGATGGGCACTCAGGTTGATTCCATGTATTTGCTATTGTGAATAACAAGGCAATGGATATGTAAGTATATGTGTATTTTTGGTATAAAGATCTATTTTCCTTTGCATATATACCCAGTAATGGGATTGCTGGGTTGAATAGTAGCTCTGAAATTATAGAACTGAATGAAAATGAGATGTAAGAATCGATACAAAAGATCAGTGAAACCAAGAATTGGTACTTGGTACTTTGGAAAAAAACAAACAAGAAAAGATTGAGAGACCACTAGTTAGATTAACAAAGAAAGAAAAGAGAAGATCCAAATAAGCACAATCAGAAATGATAAGAATGACATTATAATTGATCCCACAGAAATATAAAAGATCCTCAGAGTATACTATGAACAACTCTATGCACATAAATTAGAAGATCTAGAGAAAATGGATGAATTCCTGAAAACACATAACGTCCCAAGACCGGATAAGGAAGAGATTAAAACCATGAATAGACCAATATCAAGCTCTGAAATCGAGTCACAAAAAAACAAAATAACAAAAAAAAAAGCAGTGAACCTACCAACCAAAAAAAGCACTGGATGAGATGAATTCACAGTTGAATTCTTCCAGACATGCAAAGAAGAGCTCGTGCCAATCTTACGAAAATATTCCAAAAAATGGAGGCAGAGGGGGTCCTCCCTAAGTCTTTCTATGAAGCTAGCATCAGCTTAACACCAAAATATGTCAGAGACACAATAACAGCAATAACAACAAAAACTTTAGGCCAATATCCCTGATAAACACAGGTATAAAAATCTTCAACAAAATACTAGCAAACCAAATCCCGCAGCATGTCAAAAAATTTAACACACCATGATCAATTAGGCTTTATTCCTGGGATGCAAGACTGGTTTAACATACAGAAATCAATTAATGTAATTCACAATATAAACAGAATTAAAAGCAAAAACTATGAGATCCTTTCAATAGATGGAGAAACAGCTTTTGATAAAATCCAACATCGCTTCATGATAAAAAGCCTCAACAAACTAGGCATTAAAGGAACACGCCCAAAATGGTAAGAGCCACCTATCACAAACCTACAACCAACATCATATTGAATGGGCAAAAGTTAGAACTATTAAATCCTCTTGAGAACTTGGGACAAGAAAAAGATTCCCACTCTCACCACTCTTATTCAACATAGTACTGGAAGTCCTACTCAGAGCAACCAGTCAAGAAAAAGAAATTAAAGGCAACAAAATAGGAAAAGAAGATGTCAAACTATCTCTCTTCCCTGATGATATGATTCTATATCTAGAAAACCCTTGAGATGATGTCAAAAGACTAGTAGAACTGATAAACAATTTTACTAAGGATTCAGGTTACAAAACAGTGTACAATAATCAGTAGCATTTCTATACACCAATAATGTCCAGGCTAAGAGTCAAATAAAGAACACAATTCCCACCTCTACAATAGCAACAAAGAAAATGAAATACCTAGGAATACAGCTAATCAAAGGGGTGAAATATTTCTACAAGGAGAAGTACAAAACACGGGTGAATGAAATCAGAGACGACATAAACAAATGGAAGAACATTCCATGCTTATGGATTAAAAGAATTAATATAGTTAAAATGGCCATATTGCCCAAAACTATTTACAGATTCAATGCTATTACTACAAAACTACCAAAGTCATTCTTTACAGAACGAGAAGGAAAAAAATAAAAACTATTCTAGAATTCATGTGGAACCAAAAAAGAGTACAAATAGTTAAAGCAATACTAAGCATAAGGAACAAGGCCAAAGGCATCACACTACCCAAATTTCAACTGTACTATAAAGATATAGTAATCAAAATAGCGTGGTACAGGTACAAAAAGAGACACATGAACTAGAGAAACAGAATAGAAAATGCAGAAATAAAGCTACAAGTTTACAACCATCTGATCTTCAATAAGGCTGACAAACAAAACAAACAAAAAACAAAACGAAACGAAAAAAACAGTGGAGAAAACTCTTCTTATTCAATAAGTGGTGCTAGAATAACTGGTTAGTTACATGCAGAAGATTGAAGATGGACCCCTGCCTTTCACTATATACAAAAATTAACTCAAAAAGGATCAAAGATTGAAATGTAAGACCTCAAACTATATCAATTCCAGAAGAAAATCTTTAAACAGACAATCTACAGGATGAGAGAAAATATTCCCAAACTATGTATCCAACAAAGGTCTATTATCCAGAATCTATAAGGAACTTAAATCAACAAGCAAAAAACTAATAACCTTGGCTGGGTGTGGTGACTCACACCTGTAATCCCAGCACTTTGTGAGGCAGAGGTAGGTGGAACACTTGAGGTCAGGAGTTTGAGACCAGCCTGGCCAACATGGTGAAACCCTGTCTCTTCTAAAAATACAAAAATTAGCCGGGCTTGGTGGTCGGTGCCTGTAGTCCCAGCTACTCGGGAGGCTGAGGCAGGAGAATAGCTTGAACCTGGGAAACGAAGCTTGCAGTGATCCGAGATCATGCCACTCACTGCAGCCTGGGCAACAGAGTGAAACTCCAGCTCAAAAAACAAACAAACAAACAAACAAAGAAACAAACAGAAAAAAAAATACACCATCAAACAACAACGACAACAACATAAAAACCTCATGAAAAGATAGGGAAAAAACATGAACGGAAACTTCTCAAAAGAAGACATACAAGTGGCCACCAAACATATAAAAGATGCTCATCATCAGTAATCATCAGAGAAATACAAATTAAAACCACAGTGAGGTACCATCTCACACCAGTCAAAATGACTCTCATTAAAAAGTCAAAACCGACAGATGCTAGCCAGGCTGTAGAGAAAAGGGAGCACTTACACACTGCTGGTGGGAATGTAAAGTTTTTCAGCCATTGTGGAAAGCAGTTTGGAGATTTTGCATAGAGTTTAACATCTCTTTAAGGACTATCAGTTCTATTTTGTTGCTTTCTCCAGGGCTGGTGTTCAGTCAGGGCACATGTCTGGAGTGTGGTATATTCTACCAGGATACATTCTGAATATTTGGGACAACTGCCACACCACTTGTTAAATATTTTTGATTATCATCCTTGGGTCTATTGGTTTTTGCCTGAGCCTCACATTATGTAATTTTTCTACCTTATTATGTTGAATTATTAAGTGTTTTTCATATGTAGAGGGTATTAAAAGATCCATAAATTTTAAGGCATTATTTATAACTTTGGTTTCTCTATTCTATTTTAATCAAGAGCTAAATAAATAGAGGCTAATGTCAAAACTTGATTATTTAAATCTCTAAATATATTCAAGGAAAAAAACTAAAGTATAAAATTCAAATCAAGTTTTGACTAAGCTTATACTTTTTGTGAAAGAAAATGTTTAGTTGTCTCAGAATAAATGTACATTTTAATAAATAAAAAATACCATAATATAGGAATGTCTTTATATTACTTTAGTATACTTTAAGCAAACCCCAACATAGGAGATGATATAACTTATGATTTATTAATGAGTTATAACTTCTTATTCTAATAAATTCCAAAATATTTAATTTTATTGCTATATGCTTTTACAGAAAGCCTTATGTGATTTCGGTTTTTATTATTTTTCTCATTAATATTAGAAATAATAGGAACTTATTTATATATTTAGACATAGATAATAAATTACTGATTAGTACTTGAATAAATCAGTAATGACCAAAATCTGAAATAAATGTTGATAAACTTTGGAATATCTTTTTGTACTTCTGTGTGCATATGTATATCTTTGACTTGGGACTTTTTGTAAAATTAAGCCACCTGAATACTATTCAGGATGAGTAAAGACATTTTCTGTTTTTCTACCTTATGCCTCCATTCCTGCGTGTGATACAGACTATATTTACCAGAGATTGTTTTATTTTAAGCTGTATAATAAGATTTTGTTTAAAACGTGTTACTTCTGTTTCAATGGGATTTTCTGTATACTGTATAAATAAAAAGAGTTGCATTATCAGTGAAGCAAATATAATGTATGGTTGTCAAGACACTTGAAGATTTGATTAAGTTTTCAAATATTTTGCCATTTACATTGAGGAATTGGAAGTGTGGAAAAAATCAACGATACTGTTCTTTTGATGCTTTATTTTAGTATATAATTATCTCTTAATAAAATGTGTCATGTGACGGTTAGCAACAGTTCTGTTCATGGCATGAATGAGGAAGATTTGATAAGAGGATTGAAGGAGTGTGAACAATGATTCAACTTTTCTAGATGTTTTCTACAAATTCGATCCAATTAAGTACAATAAATACTTCTTCAACTGGTCTTATAAAGCTTTTACTTGAGTTAGATATAGGTAAAAAGAACTATATTTCATGAAATCTCCTATTGTTCCTTTTGTTTCAGGGCCTTAGTCAGCAGTCAGTATTTAATTATGATACACGAAATGCTATTTCTTTTAGGTTAGAGGTAATTAGAAAAATCAAGAAATATTAGGAAACACGTTATATACCACAGTAATTTATCATTAATAATTTTTAAATATTATCAGAGTGAAAATTCAGAGACTGACAAGGACATTTATCCAGCACACTTTCAAGTCAGTCGTTCAGTGTGTAGGATTAGGATCATGTGTTTTGAAACCTACGTATTTTGAGTTGAATCTCAGGCAACTATCTGACTGATCTAGATATCATCTTACTCATCTGTGAATTGGGAATTAATTAGAAATATTATATACATCTACTTAATAGGCTTGTAAAGCTTGAGATGATAAATAGATAATGACGATGATGAGACAGAGAGATCAAAAAAGTCTGGATTATAATAAGTGCTAAATAAATAGTAATTCTTCATTATTATTAGCATCAACATCATCAATTTTTTACATAGTTGTCAAGAAGCTGAGCATCTTGGCTTGCCATATTTTTATTTTCTAAAATAATAAAGTGATTAGTGATACATTAAAAGCTAGTGTTAATTATATATAGACTCCAGTCTTTCAACACCTTCATTTTTTAATTGTAGGTTACATATTATGGATGATTTAAGATTCAGTTTTGCAGTAAAGCACTTGTTGATGTGTATGCATATCCCACAAGGACATGTTGAATGTAATCTACATTTATAACCTATGGAAACTGCTTCTTCCTTTTGCAGGTACAAATGATTCATTATAATAATTTTATTAAGAATTATTATTATTATTATTATTATTATTATTTTGAGATGGAGTCTCACTCTGTCGCCCAGGCTGGAGTGCAGTGGCATGATCTCGGCTCACTACAAGCTCCGCCTCCTGGGCTCACGCCATTCTCCTGCCTTAGCCTCCCGAGTAGCTGGGACTACAGGTGCCTGTCACCATGCCTGGCTAATTTTTGGTATTTTTAGTAGAGACGGGATTTCGCTGTGTTAGCCAGGATGGTCTCGATCTTCTGACCTCGTGAACTGCCCGCCTCGGCCTCCCACAGTGCTGGGATTACGGGTGCGAGCCACCGCGCCCGGCCTAAGAATTATTTCTTTTCATACTCCTGAATAATGAGTCCTCTTTTCTCTGCCCCTCACTGCCATGTTTAAGGTCTTGATCTTAACTTTCCTGGGAAAATGTGGGGGCTTATAAAGACATCTGCTCCACCCTTTGCCTTCCAGCCATCTACCTTCTACAATTCATACTCATTACGGATTCAATAGCTGTATTCAGTCAGTATCTTTCTTCCTCTAAAATAATCACATTTTAGTTTCTTATAGTTTTGTGAGGGTGAAGAAGCCCTAGATGTTTTCTTTTGCATTATTTTCTTCCCTTGCCTTGGCTTTCCCTTTTTATTCTCCTTCAAAAAAGTTTTCATTTTTCTCTAGATGATCTCTTAATGTGTCTCCTTTGAGCCACATTTCTTAGAATGATCTTAACCTGTTCTCCCAGACAGCAGAGCTTAACAAAAAAGACCAGTGGATATTTGATGAATTTTGAATTTTAATTTTTGTGGGTACGTAGTAGGTATACTTATTTATGGGGTACATGAGCTGTTTTGGTACAGGCATGTAATGCATAATAATCACATCACGTAAAGTGAGATATTCATCCCCACAAGTATTTATCCTTTGTGTTACAAAAACTCAATTATACTTTTTTAGTTATTTTAAAATGTAAAAATAAATTATTATCGGCCAGGCACATTGACTCACGCCTGTAATCGCAGCACTTTCCGAGACCAGGGTAGGCAGATCTCTTGAGGTCAGGAGTTGGAGACCAGCCTGGCCAACATAGTGAAACTCCGTCTCTACTAAAAATACGAAATTAGCTGAGTGTGGTGGCACACCAGTAATCCCAGCTACTTGGGAGGCTGAGGCAGGAGAATCGCTCGAACCTGGGAGGCGGAGGCTGCAGTGAGCTGAGATCACGCCACTGCACTCAGTCTGGGTGACAGAGTGAGACTCCATCTAAATATACATACATACGTACATACATGTATACACATACACATACATATATATATACACACACATACACACACATATATATATATATCTGACTATAGTCATCCTGTTGTTGTACCATCAAATACTAGATCTTATTCATTCTTTCTATTTTTTCACACCCATTAACCTCTCCACCTACATCCCCATCCTCCTGACTACCCTTCCCAGCCTCTGATAACCATCCTTCTGCTCTCTATCTCCATGAGTTCAATTGTATTGATTTTTAGATCCCACAAGTAATTGAGAATGCAATGTTTGTCTTTCTGTGCCTGGGTTATTTTACTTAGTATAATGACTTCCCATTCCATCCATGTTGTTGCAAATGACAGGATCTCATTCTTTTTTTAGGGATGAATAGTACTCCATTGTGTATAAGTACCATACTTTCTTTATCCATTCACCTGTTGATGGACACTTAAGTTGCTTCCAAATCTTGACTATTGTAAACAGTGCTGCAGCAAACATAAGAGTGTAGATATCTCGTCTACATACTGATTTCCTTTCTTTTGGATATATACCCAGCATTGAGCTTGCTGGAATATATGGTAGCTCTATTTTTAGTTTTATGGTGAACCTCTAAACTGTTTTCCATAGTAGTTGAAAGAATTTATATTCCTACCAAGAGTGTACGAGAGTTCTCTTTTTTTGTTTTGTTTTGTTTTGAGACAGAGTCTCGTTCTGTCGCTCAGGCTGGCACAATCTCGGCTCACTGTAAGCTCCACCTCCTGAGTTCACGCCATTCTCCTGCCTCAGCCTCCCAAGAGTTCTCTTTTTTCCACATTCTCACCAGCATTTTTTATTGCCTGTTTATTGGATAAAGCCATTTTAATTGGGGAGAGATGATATCTCACTGTAGTTTTGATTAAATTTCTTTGACGATCAGTGATGCTGAGCATCTTTTTATATGCCTGTTTGCCATTTATTTGTCTTTTTTGAGAACTTTCTATTAAAATATTTTGCTCATTTTTAATCAGATTATTAGATTTTTCCTATAGAGCTGCTTAAATTCCTTGTATATTCTGCTTATTAATTCCTTATCAGATGGGTAACTTGCAGGATAATGTTTTACTAAGGAATATAATCAAGAAAGAAAGGATGAAGAACAGTAGAGGGAAGGAGAGAAGTGAGAAACCAATGAGATCAAATTCTATTTTGAGTATGACATTTTGCTATCTCCTTAAATTGTTCATCCAAAGCAAGTGCTTCACACCTCACTCACCTCTCCCCAGTTACAGCCCTGATTGAGAGGCATTATCAATTCAGATGCCAACAGGTGCAACTGGTTGTCTGATCCAGGAACTCTGTTCCCTAAGAAGTGTAGACTGAGTCTTGGGATCACCCATCAGTGGGGAGTAAAGGGTACCTCTGTGAAGACGGTCAAAATCACAGAGCTATCATAAGAGGCAAGTGAATCTAAGAAGATGTGAAATGGTGACTAAGAGATGTACAATCCACTCTTCACAGAACTCAGCTACTTGAGTGTCCGCCATATATCTGGCTCTCATAAAAAAAGAAGAAAAAATTGTCCTTACTTCTCTGATAGAGATGAAATAAATCAATTATTTTCAGAGAAGTTCCTTTAAGGTAGTGGCCAGCTGCACCCTCTGAAAACTTAATGCAAGTGGGCTAGGAGATTGGCTATCGCTCCCATTACTGTAGCTGGTCCTGGGGTTGCAACTGGTCTTTGCCATCTCCTCTCTTCTACCACCCAGTCTAGATTCCCTTCATCTTTAGTAATTCTTTGACTGGTCTGGGTGACTTGTCTCATGGAATGATGCAAATCTTCATTTCAGAGTTGTCTAAATTATTACATTTTTCAGTGTTCTCAGAACATGGTTATTACATTCTCTATTTTGCTTTCAAAACTAGAGGTAGAAGCATCAAGTATTGTCGCTTTGAATCCCTTGAGTATTACTTGTCTCTGCCCCCATTATTAAGCAGCAACCCTGACTCTTTATGCTAATCATGGAAGTAAGCCTCCTCTAGTACTGCAACTGCTTTATTTGCTCATAGATCTGCTGGCATGAAGAGTACTGTATGAACCAAGGAAGGTTGTAGCTTCAAGTTTAATCATACCCTTAATATGTTCTCTAGCAGAAGCATTTCTCTCCTGGGATACAGGATCTCTAGCCCTATATAGCCAAAACTTGCAGAGATGGGAAGCATGACTACAAGTGGGTCATGGAGTGGTGGTAAAAGGAGCCAGTCTTACTTCTATCTTTTGGTTTCAAGACCCAAGTAGTGTAACTAAAAGGACATAGGACTATATACTGGCCATCGATTAAGTGCGTGTACTGCATTCTGGAAGTCAACACCTTAACCTCACAGAGTACTCATTTTAAGCTTGTACTGTAACTGAGATCATAGCAGGCAATTTCATCTGTCTCTGAGGTTGACTGCATGTGGATGATTGGGTGCCTGAATTCCATGTACATATCATTATTGGTACACTTTCTTTGCCATAAATTATGTCTTTTCCAGTGAGGCAATGCTATGTGCAATATAACATTGATAGTTCAGGTACATCTTTGCAAAGTCATACTACATGGCCTCTCCCACACAGGAAAGAACTCTGTAAGAAGGGATTACAGTTGATAAGGAGAAATCACAACTCTCCAGGGTGTAAAAGTTCTGATGTGATTTACCTGCCAGTAAATGGTCAGATGGTATTCTCAAGTAATGTTGTCATAGAGAGGGCTCAATGTAAGTTTTTGCTGCTAATAGGTTGTACATTCAGTGGTGACAAATAGATACATCTTGTAGAGAAGGAGTCAGTGTTATTAAGTGTACTTATGAAATTTCTGTCTGCTATCATGGTTACTCTATTCGTGGTTTCATTATAGAAGTCTTGAGATAATCAAGAAGAAATGCTGGCTGCCATTCATAGGAAGAGTCTTCCTATTTCCTGGTGGTTTGAAGCTCTGACTTTGGGAGAAATTCTCCAATGGACATTAATATGTGACACAAAGATTGAAATGTTTTGCATCTCTTCCCATAGGTCCAACCACAAAGGCCAACTCGAGGTGCCCATCCTTGTTTTTTCAATCTTATTCCTTTGAAGCCCATGTTCAATTAATTAAGCCATTTCCCACCACCCAATAATTTATGCATATCTACAGTGAAAGACACTTCTAGTTCTACATAAAGTAGTGACCAAATTTACAGCCCACAACCATGTCACCTGAGAGCATTTCCCTTTCCTAGTATATTTTAGGAGGGGAGCTGTCACGTGTCAGCAGTCAATTTTAGCTAGCAACAACATGTCATCAATGATTCAGTCTAGAGTTCTTTTTTCCCTGTCATTTTGTTGTAGGAAATCTCTTATGAGTCATGAGTATGAGCAGAGGGTAGATAAAGTAGGCATTATGATATGTACCTGTTCATGTAATTTACTCATGCTTTCTGGACCTACTCAGGCCCAGATCTAGATATATAATTTCACCAAACAATGGACTGTTGCTATGCCCACTTAAACTCATGCCTCGGCAGATCTGATTGTACTCAACTTAAAGGGTGATTCCAATTACATAGTCAATTGTATTCCACAGCCAAGCATTCATTTTTTAAAATGTAATTGGTATTTCTGTGTTACACATTTTAATGCTTAAGTATCAGAATAATGAGTCCTAGGGTTCACCAGGATTCTTTTTGGTGAAAATTTTATATTTCTTTCTGGAGCCATA